AGCAGTGAGGCGCTTGATAGTAGTTTTCATCTCAGCAACATCATCAGAGCAAACAGTCAGTGCATGCTCCATCTCCTTGACCGTACCTTTTAGCTCGGACATGGTAGAGTCATTGGCAGCTTTATCGATCGCCAGCTGCGTCTTCACAGCCTGCAGGTCGAACTTAATGGTGGACAAAGCATCACCCAGAGTGTCCTGAAGTTCTTTTTTAAAAATGTCAGCAATATCATTCCTCAACGAAGCAAGCAACTCGACCTTGAGAGCCCCGATATCAGGATTAGCTTGGCCCAAGGGAAACTTTGCCGGAGACGGCGGCTCACTCGAGGGTGTGGCCGCGGTTTGCAGACCAAGCTTCAGTTGTGTTTGAGTAGCATTGCGGGTTTTTACATTTTTTGCTGCCATTTTATGCCGAGCCGATTAAAACGTCCCATCAAAATAATTCAAAAATCAGAATTAGGACAAGAAATATGGTCAAAAAAGCGCAAATGAATAACAATTTAATCGAAGTCGGCAGGAGCTCCCAGACTCACGTCCTACTCCATCCTCCTCTAAATCATTTTTCGGTTAACTTATACTTTTAAAAATATATAGACTGATGTACTGAAATACAGAGAAATCAACTTGTGAGTACAATGCATGTTAATATAGTAAGCATAGAATTTTTAACATAAGCAAATTCACACATGGAAAGTATCAATGTAAATAAATCATATGGGAGTAACTCTGCTGTACTTTCATTGTGTAAAAGTAGCTCACGGGCCAAAAAAAGGTTGGAGACCCCTGCAATAGATCATTCAGCCCTAGTGGATAGTTAGATGAATTTTTAAAATTTTCTTTCAGCGAAATCTTCGTCCACAGAGCTCACAAGCAAAGGGCTTCTGTCCTTTATGGACTCTTTTGTGACCGTTTAAACTGATCTTTTGGGTAAATCTTTTCCACCAAACTCACAGGCGAAAAGCCAGTGTGGACTCTCATGTGACTGATTAAAGTTGACTTTCGGCTAAATCTTTTTACACAGAGCTCACAGGCAAAAGGCTTCTCTCCTGTGTGGACTCTCATGTGACGGTTTAAAGTTGTCTTTTGGCTAAATCTTTGTCCACAGAGCTCACAGGCAAAAGGCTTCTCTCCTGTGTGGACTCTCATGTGACGGTTTAAAGTTGTCTTGTGGCTAAATCTTTTTACACAGAGCTCACAGGCGAAAGGCTTCTGTCCTGTGTGGACACTCATGTGTGTATTTAAATGTCCCTTTTCACTAAATCTATTACCACAGAGCTCACAAGCAAAATGCTTCTGTCCTGTGTGGACTCTCATGTGTGTGTTTAATTTTGTCTTTCGGCTAAATCTTTTTACACAGAGCTCACAGGCAAAAGGCTTCTCTCCTGTGTGGACTCTCATGTGACGGTTTAAAGTTGTCTTGTGGCTAAATCTTTTTACACAGAGCTCACAGGCGAAAGGCTTCTGTCCTGTGTGGACTTTCATGTGACTGTTTAAAGTTGCCTTTTGGCTAAATCTTTGTCCACAGAGCTTACAGGCGAAAGGCTTCTGTCCTGTGTGGACTTTCATGTGATTAATTAAAGTTGTCTGATGGCTAAATCTTTTTCCACAGAGCTCACAGGCGAAAGACTTCTGTCCTGTGTGGACTTTCATGTGATTATTTAAAGTTTTCTTTTGGCTAAATCTTTTTACACAAAGCTCACAGGCGAAAGGCTTCTGTCCTGTGTGGACTCTCATGTGACTGTTTAAATTTGTCTTTTGGCTAAATCTTTTTACACAGAGCTCACAGGCGTAAGGCTTCTGTCCTGTGTGGACTCTCATGTGTTTGTTTAAATTTGCCTTTTGGCTAAATCTTTGTCCACATAGCTCACAAGCAAAAGGCTTCACTCCTGTGTGGACTCTCATGTGTTTGTTTAAATTTGTCTTTTGGTGAAACCTTTGTCCACAGTGCTCACAGGCAAAATGTTTCTGCTTTGTCTGGACTTTCGTGTGTTTGTTTGAATGTGTTTTTTGGCTAAAGGATTGAAACCTGGCAGCATCAGTCTCCTTATTCAAATGGAGATGCTCTCCCTCCATACTAGACCAGAGTTTCTCCTGTTCCTCCTTTTCGTGGAGAAAATCTAGGTGTTGGTGGTTGACACGAGCACTCTGTTCTTCTGAAGCTTCTTCTTTAACCAGAACCACCTGTTGAAAATCTGTAGGAAACACAGAAACATATTATGTGAATTACAGACAGCTGTAACTGTGTTTTCACACAGATAACAGTTGTATTATTTCTTTAAACTGACAGTAGAATGAAATGTATTTACAATTGGAAACTGAACTTTGAGCCTCTATAAATCATATGAGCCTTAACCCTCAGGCTTCACTTTAATTTTCATACAAGAGTCATTAGAGGACAAAAACGTCCGCTTGTAAAAGTGGCTATAAAAAATGTATACATTAATGTTTTTTTTTCTTTTTTTCATAGATCTCTTGAACAACTTCAGCCCTGCTCAAACATAAAAAAAATCAATCATTTTGAGGCTTTTAACCCCTGAAATGCCAGTTTGAATACTCAAAAGGCATTGATGTAAATTATAAAGAAAAAAACAACAGCACCGAGTTATTTTCTAAAAAAACAGGTAACGAAACCGTTTCTGTGTTTTAAAAAGAACGACAGCATGGAATTAGCCTTGGATATGTCAAGAGTCTAGCAAAATATCACATTTTATGCTTTTTGAAATTTGTGTAGCAGCAGATTTAAAATTTACCACCCTCTTGTGCCTGTTATGGAGAAAAACGTCCCATTGACTTCAATGCAAACCAGTTTTTGATCCTGCATTATCTGCAGCAAATATTCATGCTTTCTGTGATGTAATGGTTTCATTTTGGACAAAAGTAGTCAAATTTATGATTTTTACTGTTCACCACCAAATTCAGTCATTTCTTCATATGCTGCCCAGGCGAGAAAGTTTACACATTTCTATAGATCTTCTGCTGTTTTTACTGAAGTCAGAAGCTCAGCATGTAAACAAAACACAGTTTCACTCTCCTACTGAACATCAAAGGGTAGAAAACAAAAACAATATGTTTATGCACCTGGCTGGAGCTCAGGCACATCCAAACTCTTTGTAGTTCAGTTTGTTATGAAAGGGCAGAAGTGTGAATGCATGCATGTGAAGTGACTCCTTGGAGCTCTTCGGTCATCTCCAAAATGACACGTTTTCCCTGGCCGACCTCTGCAGCCTCACCAGCAGCTTTCCCTGTGTTAACCTGACACTTGCAGGCATAGGAAGTGGCAACATCAGCAGTGACCCAGAGTTTCAATCCATACTTTGCTGGTTTACTTGGCATATGTTGGCGAAACTTGCACCTGCCTCTGAAAGAGACAAGCTGCTCATCAGCACACACATCTAACCCAGTGTTGAAAAGCATTTGGAGGCGATGGGTCCACATGTCCCAAATCGAGCGGATAGGGGCCAGCTTGTCCTGCCTGAGACGGGAAGGCCTGTTCAGCTCATCATCAAACCGGAGGGTGGAGTTGATCATCTTGAATTTGGTGTGACTCATGGTGGCCAGGAAGATTGCACGTCCACAGTGGTCATCCCAAAGGCTGCAGGTGGATTCCCCTTTGGACTGGTACACACCAGCCAAAATCAGGAGCCCAATGTATGCTCTCACTGCGATGTCATCAATATCCCACCAGTTCTTCACCACACGTCTTCCATTTAGACTTTTTCATGTTGACGATGATTTCAGTCATTTCTGGAGTAAAGAATAAATCAAAGGAGGATACCACATCGTAAATACGTGTGATGGTGTAACGTGTTGGCCCAGGATTCAAACATCTTGCAGCAGGAACATAGTGGGAAGTTTCTGCGTTAGTAGGAAACCAGACTTGCCCACTTTTAGAAATCCATCCTGGAGCAGGATCCGTTGTCCTCCCTTCTCTTTCACTGGACAGGTCAGGAGAAGAAGTCAAGGAAACAGAATGGTCTGACTCCACCTCAAAGTCCACTGAAGATGTTTCACTCTCCTCATTTTCTCCAGGAGTATCAGGCTGCAGGAGCTGATCCAGAACTTGTTCCACAGAGAGATGCCTCTTCATTTAGCTCCGTGGCTTTCACAGAAGTGAAATGACCAGATAACCAGACTACAAGGAGTTTGAATGTGGCAGGTGCATAAACATACTAATTGTTTTTGTTTTCTACACTTTGAAGTTCAGTAGGAGAGTCAAACTGTGTTTTATTTACTTATCAGAGGTCAGGTTGGCCTTTTGACTTCAATAAAAACAGCAGAAGATCTAAAGAAATGTGTAAACTTTCTCGCCTGGGCAACATATGGAGACATGACTGAATTCTACTTTTGTCCAAAATGAAACCATAACATCACAGAAAGCATGATTATTTGTTGCAGATGATACAGGATCAAAACCTGTGGTTTGCATTAAAGTCAATGGGACGTTTTTGTCCTCTAATGGCTCGAGTGTATAGTAAATTTTAAATGTGTTGCTATGTAAAAACTATAAATGCAACAAATTCTAAAGTTTAGATATTTCATAACATAATCAAGACTGATTTGTACTAAACACCCCAGGCAAAAAAAAAAGTCTTTTCTAGAAAATAACTCAGTTTTAGTGTTTTTTTCATGAATCGGGGTGATGTGGGTGTGTTTGGAGGACTTGGTCAGAAGCCGAGCACAGGCGTTCTGAACCACCTGTAGACGGTTCAGGGAGGTTCTGCTCAGACACGTGAAAAGAGAGTTACAGTAGTCTAAGCGTGAGGAGATGAAGGTGTGGAGAACTGTCTCACGTTCAGAGCGGGACAGAATGGGACTCAGCTGTAAGGGAAAAATGAGGTTCTTACATTTTAATTAATGAGCCGTAAGGCGTGGGATTCCATAGGAAATATGAAATCCGCCTCATGGATCGGGGTTGGTTAAACCAGAAGATCGGGTCTTTTTAATGCAGAGATCATGTAACCGTTATGTATTCACTCAGAGACAACAGAATAGAACGAGTCAAGTTTAAAAGTTAAGAAATTTTATTACTAACTGGCTATTCCAAACACAGGCGCCATCTTGTTAGCGGCCAGAAGCAGAGTATGGGTGGGATGAGGCTGGCCCATACTCTGGAACAGCAGCTGCTATGTGTGGACTCTCATGTGATTTGTTTGTTTACATTTGTAGTAAACCTTTCTCCAGTCATCATGACTAAATGATTTAGGTTTCTTCTGGACTTTCCTGCACGAGTCTACATGTTGCTTCACTCTAACACATTTCTTATGAACCAAACAGCCTGAAGACCTGACTGCTGGATGACTCGTCTCCCTCACGTGTCTCTGGAGAGACCACTTGTGAAGAACTTGTTGACAGACTTACCATCTGACTCAGAAGACCTGCTCTCATTCCAGTCATCATCTTCATCTCCAGTTTCAGACCCAGAGTCTGACAGCTCAGAGTCCAGATTCACATCATCATCATCATCATCATCTTCACTAACTTCAGTCTCTGAAGAATCAGATGTTTGTTCATGAGGGTTCAGATCTGGGTTCCTGCTAGTTCCTGCTCCTCCACCAGTTTCTGCGGTCATCTGGTCAGCTGAGCTGCTGGTTGGAACATCTCTGTCTTCTATTTGCTGCTGATGAAGCTGTGAGACCAGAGGTTTCTCTTCATCATCCTCACTCTTTATAGAAACAGCAGTAACAGGAGACCTGACAGCTTCAGTCTCCTCCTTCAAACAGAGATGCTCTCCCTCCAGACTGGTCCAGAGCTCCTCCTGTTCCTCCTTTATGTGGAGGTGTTCTGGGTCCTGCTGGTCCACACCAGCACTCTGTTCTTCAGGATCTTCTTCTTTAACCAGCACCAGCTGTTGAACATCTGTAGGAAACACAGACACATGATGTTACACACCACCATACCTTTATATTTACACCACGAGTGATACCGGCTACATGATGTGGGGAAAAGGAACAAGAACATGAACTTCATTTAGATAAAAACAGATTTCTACTTTAGGATCAATAAAAACTTCCATCACAATCAGCGTGTTTGGTTCTGACCAGAACTTCTAAGCCTCCTACTGTCAAGTGTTTTCTTCCACTGTGAGGTGCCGACACTTGGAAAGAGCAGACTTTGGATTTCACTCAGAACAATTTATTTGACCAGTACTGAGATCAGTCCGGGTTCAGGAACCAGTCAGGTGGAAAAGCTTTAAATAACAAAAATAAACATGTAACTAAATCATGCAGATAAACTTCAATGCTGTTACAGGTAATACAGAGCAAGGAGAACACACCAGCATCTTTAGTAACCTTCAGTTGGGCGTCTAGTTTTAGACAAGTACTATTCTATCTGCTTTTACAAGTACTGGCTGCTAATTCAGAGATGAATCATTTCACAATGAAGCAAGGATGAAAAAAGACTGATTTTACCAGACAAATAATTAAATACATGAATACATCTGTTTTCTGCCTTAACTTGCTTTCATTTAATTTACTATTATTCCTGCAGTCATTTCTGGCACTCCAGACGTTAACACACTTCCTCTCAGTAAATTCCATTCACACCCAGACGGATAAAGAGTCCATATAAAGACGTGAATCCAAGAGCTTACCGACAGCCCGTCAAGATCAAAGTCTTCCTCCTCACAGTGTACCCATTTGTGTTCGCTCTGCACTCCTCTCAGTCTGCCGCACGCTGGGCAAAAGCTTGTTGCAGACATTTTGGCTGTACTTCATTTCCCCCGAGCACGAGCTCTTAATTGCCTCAATTCTGCTCACCTGGCGAGGCGCGCGCCGGAGCGCACGCAGGTTCCATCTGCGGTCACGCGCTGGCAACGCGCAACGGAGTCAGCGTGTAGGGAAAGGATGAGGAACAATAGAGAGGGGCAGCCACACCTCTAAGGTCAGCGCAACACCTACTCACAAATCATTCTTTAGATCTGAAGCTGATGTGAGGAGAAACGTCTCCAAGATCAAATCAGCAACTATTCAGTCAAAAGGAAAATGAATAAACACTTAGATGTAGCTGCTGTCAGTAACAACCTTTAACTTTGAAGCTCTCAGCAGGCTAAAGCACTACAAAGCAAAGGAACCTTACAAATGAGCATTTTGGGAGATTTATTGTTGTTATTATATTATTATAATGATTATTATTGTAGATGTTATTATATGTCCTGTAGTGGGTTACTTGGTGATTGAGCAGTGGGCGGAGCCTGTTGTTTTCTACTCATTGTCTTATGTTCTAGCTTTAGTGTTCAGCGTTTTATTGTAACTCCTTGTGTGACCTCAGTCTGGGACACGTGCTGTATGAATAAACTTGGTTCTTCTTCCACCACAGAGAAAGGCTGCTCTTCCAGCATCATGAACTTCCTTATGGTCCGGTTATTAGCCGAGCCTTCTGACGCTCATACAGACGGGTGTTGGTGAGCGTAGCTGCGTCTGACTGGGAGGTGTTTATCTCTGCAGCGATCCCTGGAAACTCACCTCACTCCACCCAGATGTTGTTCTTCACATCTTATTAAACCAGCTGTGATCAGCTTCCCCAGGAGCTGGAGCTTTTCATTGCAGGACTCAAAGCTTACATCACTCTCGCAGACAGAGTTAAAGTTAGGCGGACATGTTGTTTTACATTGTTGCTGCTGTCCTGCACAGCATGAAGGAAAAGGGGAAGAACCCCAAGTGCATCACACAGGGTTCACACAGGTGTTGCTGGTATGATCAGAACATCCCAAACTAACACCAACGTAGATAAACAATAAACAACTTGTATTAAGTACTGATGAGCTATCTGCAGGGGAACAGGACCAGCTGGCATCCTCACACAAAAAGGAGGAATGAGTGTCTTTTATAGGACAGCCAGGCACTAATTGGTGTGTTTCCATTACCGAAACTTCCCAGTATGACCGTCTCCACTTCACCGGAGCCAGCCGAACCGGTCCTTTTCCAGACCTTTTGAGAGTCTTTGCAGGTTCTGTGGCCTCATCCAGATGACCCGCGGGCAAACCCAGTTCTAACCAGAACTGGGGGACGGAGGGTTTCAAAGCATCTGTCAGCATTCATTCTGGACAGTTTTACTTATTTTATGCTTCTTTGTGAGAAATGTCCTCATGTCCCCGTGTCTGTGGAGGGATCAGACAAGGACACTGCTTATTATGGGATAGTAATGGCACTGACTCCTCCTCCAGCTTCCACAAGCCTGTAGTTTCACTTTGGTTCGTTCGGTCTTTTATTTTCTAACTTTGTTGACAACCATGTCAGTCACGCCCACCATGCGTGCAGCAGAGCAACCAGGAAAACGTGAAACGGACTTCAGCCGACTGAGTCATTTCTAATGAATCAAGTGGAATGGATTTCTTTGAGAACAATGGAAAGAGCAAAAGGTGTGCGTGTGTGTGTGTGTGTGTGTGTGTGTGGGGGGGGGTTCCCTTCTGACATAAAGGTTGCGACATCTATGAACCACCTCCACTCAGTCAGCCAATTCAGTAGTTTGCTTGTAGTTTAACTCTTGATCCAAACGTTGGACCGTTTCTGCCTCTAACGATGGTTTCCGTCGTTGCTGGTTTCTCTTTTTTCCACCACAGCACCGAGATCACCACGTAGAGCTCCAGTAAAATGTGTTCACACTGTGGAGCGCACGTTTAACGAAGCTTCGAATCACTAAAAAAATGAATCGAGGAACTTAATGAATCGAACCATTTGATGATTCGTTTCAGCCCTACTTCCTTTCAACGCTTTAACAACTCTTTAACTGTCATTGGCAAGTTTTTACTGTGTGGGCGTCGGAACGAGCCCCCGCACCGTGAGAACAAACATCCCAGCTCTAAAGCCGATCTTCATCCGCGTACGTCACACGTCACGTGATCAGGAAGCAGAAAGTCCACGTGTTAGATCAGGGGAGTCAAACTCAAACTCACACGGGGCCGAAATGAAAATCTGGGATGGAGCCGCGGGCCAAACTTAATATTTTTTGAAAAAGTGACGGCAAATTTGCACATTTTCTTTATCAACATTTATGCAATTTAGAACCTTTTAATTTGGAAACACACTTATTTCAGCATTAACACTGAATGTGGAATAACCAGATTACACACGAGCAAGTCAGGTTTAAATAAAAGGCATCAGTGGTATTCATTACTTGTGGTATATTCAGCATTTTTAAAATCTGTTCAGGATTTATGTTTTCTTGTTTATTCATTTTTCTTATTTTTTATTCTCCTTTTTTCTCCTGTAATACGTGTCATCGCTGCTGTGACGTCTAGCTTTCCCCACTGAGGAACAATAAAGGGATTTTCTATTCTATTCATCTATCTGCAGCCTTTCCACTTCCTGTTTACTGTAAGTTAAATCTTTTCTCACGGGCCAACAACAAAATAAAAATATCATTTTATCTTAAATGAAAATGCAACATCTCACCTGTTAACTTTCATGTTTTGGAGCAGAAAAAGAGCATAAAACCAACATATTTAAAGCTCAGTTTGCTCCACTGGTTTACTGTGATGCTCACCTGTTCCAGCCAGATACATGCATCATGGGGTTGATCTGAGCTGAGGAGGAGACTCCTGTTGTTTTGTTCATCTTCATCATAATAATGACAACATTAGATGACAACAGGTGCTCACATAGGTTTGTGCTGCTGAACATGTCTGAGCAGCTTGACCACGTCGTTGTGTGTCGGGGAGGAAAAATAACAACTACAGCAGCCACAGAGTCGTGCTGGTTTGAGCGTGTCGCTGCTCGCTGGAGTTATACCAGCTCTGTCTGGAAGTTAGCTGGAAAACTTTCTCTTTCAGTCATGAACACATTACTGAGCGGTTAAAATCTCCGTTTCTGGGCTTCAACGTCAGAAAATAGCTGAGTGAACTCGGCGCTGAGTGAGAGGAGTGTTTAGTTTGTCCGAGACAGCGGAGCTGCAGACACCGGCAGCAGACGCTGGAAAAAACACAAAGGAGGGGGCGCTTCAGCTCCGCGCTAACACCGCAAAGCATCATGGGAGTTGTAGTCTTTGCGGGTCAGTTTTAATATTTTTTTGACAACTATCTCGCGGGCCCCATAAAAATGCTCCACGGGCCACATGGTGTCTGACACGTGTGTGTTAGGAGATCGTTTTGGGACGCTGCTGTAAAAAAAAGTGAGGCGAGAACCGGAAAAGCTTCTGCCGATCACAATTCAACAACGGCTTATGAAAGAACAGATAACACTCAAAACACGTGGATTCTTCCTGTAAGAGGTGAGTCTACTCTTTGTTTTGGTAGTTTTGGCGTTGACATCATCATAGAGCAACGTTCTGTGACTCTTAAAAAAACTGTAAAAACGCTGAAAAACGCTGGCAGCGAAGAGCTTTTCTGATCAGGAAACGGCTGGCAGTGAGTGAGTTCAACAAAAAGAAAAATCTAATTTGTGCTGCACATCCATAAAAACATCCATGTTTAGACTTCTTCTGTGTTCGCAAATCAGTCAGTGAATCATACCGTAATCAGTCACACGCACACACCACGGCCCATCGTCATTTACTGGACTAATGATGGGCGAATGGAAAAACAGCCCAACCCTAGTGTGGGCTACCGGAGCTGCAATACTTACTCTGAACTGCGTGGCGCTGAAGAGTCGAATGTTTTTACACACTGGGCCTTTAAGCTCTAAACCACAGCGACGTGCTGAAGCAACAGCAGTCATACGTGCTGTCAGCGCCGCTGCCGTCGTGTCTGCAGCAGGCTGTCTCCCCAACTGTGATTGGTCAAATGATGATGCGTGACTGACGCTACAACAAAGGTAGGTTGTGAACACGATGAAAACCTCTCCTGTCTCTGACTGATTCTCGTAGTGACTGAAACCCGACAGAAGACCAAATAGTTCCCACAGCTTCATCTCACCGCTCCCCATGGGGACGGGTCGAATGCAGCACGTAACTTCACCAGTGTGTGACGATGACTTTGGGACTTTAACTATACTTGGCTTCAAAAATCATTCATTAGAGAGATCTAATCACTCTAAAACTACAAGGTTCTACAACAGTGTGTGAATGAGTGAATGACTGGTTGTGATGTAAAACGCTTTGGGGGGTTTTAGAACCCCAGTAGTGCTAAACATATACAGATCATTACTTTAAAGATTGAACCTCATTCTCATAATTTCACTGTAATGTCCCACCATAGACTGACCATATATTCATTCATTCATCCACCAGTACCTGTGTCCATGCTGTCCAGGTCCAGGTGGTGAAGAACACACGATGAATCAGTCCCAGCTGATGGATGATCCTGAAGTGGTAGCAGGTTTTCTTTAGCCGTGTTTAGCTAACAGCTGCAATAGAAACAAAGCAGGAGAGCTGATTAAGATGCTGCTTCAGAACAACGCAGGAGATTAAAGATCCAACGCTTTGGTTCTGATCAGCTGAGGACAGATCCAGTCTGGAAAAGAGGACCTTTGCTCACCAGAGTTCACGGAGTAGAGCTAACCGCTTTTTCCTCCAGAGTCACATTCAGATTCGGGGCTTTTCCGTCGGAGAGTGTGAGCAGGATGGATGAGAGAGCGAGCAGCGATCCTGCATCATGACCAACTCAGATGAGCGAGTCTGATAGAGGGAACCTCTTCAATCTGATGAAAGCAGCAAAACGAGCGCGTTTCTCAGAGAGGCCAAAGGAACAGCAGCAGATCCAGAGGGCAGGAAGTCTAGAGAAAAGCTTTTCTCACCCACAACCTGATCCTGGAGCTCCGATTGTCACGAAGACCGCAGAATATCTTCTCTGGTTCTGGAAAGAACTCCACCAAGTTGTTGAGGAGGAGAAGAAAGTTTCCACAGCCTGGTGAGAAGATTTCTGCAGCAGCAGTAGTTAGTCGCTTTAGCTGATCAACTCTCCCAGAGACTGAAGTGAAGACATTTTTACTGCAGAGCCTCAAATATTCTCCTCACACACCAGAACAACAAGCTAGCTCTGCTAGCAGCTTCCGGTTCCTGCTTCTTCAGGTGGTCGGTGACCAGCGTAAAGGTGCACTAGCGCCACCTGCTGGAGCAGAATAAAACACACCTGTGTGTTCAGAATGGGACTAATAAAACACACATAACATGTGATATCTTCCTCAAACAATTACTTAAAGTAAAGACAAGTTAGTTTTACACCTGTTATAATAATTTTGTAATTCACTTTATTTCAATCTTGTTTGTTTTTATCTCATTTGTTTTTCTTTGATGTAAAGCTAATTTTTTTTTTTTTTTTTTTTTTACCGTGTCCTGTCTGGCTGTGAAGCAAGCAGAATTGATGTCTGAATGCTGGTGACAAGCCTTACAGATTTATTCTCAGGTGGAGAATCAAAGCGTTTGCTTTTAATGTCACGCCTGATACTTAAAACTTTATTGTTATTGTTGTTGAATGCTTTGTAATTCAGACCAGACACGGAGACAGAGGTGAAAGAGAGAGGAAAAGAAAAGGTGGGGAGAGGGGGGGGGGGGGGGGTTTCCACAAAAATAAACAATAATCAACAAGAGTCTGCTTCTAGACCTGCAGAAAAAAGACAAAAAAAAAACAAAGGGACACAAAAAAAGGGACACAACAACAATACAACAAGATCTACCTATCACTGGGTCAACTTGATGAAAAGAAAAAAATATATATATATATAATCAACATTGCTTAACTGAAGAATCATGATAATAAATCACAACGCATTAAGTGCCCACCATAGTCTTAAGACCTGTGTTTAACGTTCCCAAGCCCATACTTTTGAGAGCACCATGTGAGCACCTGTGTGTGTACACGCGCTTGTTTATTTAAGGTTTCTCTATAGGAGCGTCCAACAGAGAGTGTGAGGGACCACAGATCCGCCCCCTAATGATGCGCAGGAGACGGGGGGAGCTCCAAGTCCCAGAGATCCAGGTGCTGCCCCAGAAAGCAGGAACCCCAAGGAGACTGCAACCAGGAAGGCCCCCGCCCCCCTCAAGAGGCACAGAGGATCGCCCCGGGGGGCCACAACCAGCAGCCGGCAGAGTCCCCGGAGATATCAGCGGCAAGCCCACAGGCCCACCCGCAGCCTCCCACCCCCTAGCCGGCCGAGCCCGGGACCCAGCGACCCGGGACCCAGGGGCGACCACCCCCGCCGGGGACCCAGCAGAGCCCAGGGACCCAGACCCCACCAGGCAGCCACCGGGATCTAACAGGCAGATGCCAAAATCTTAAACCCCCAGACCCGGTTGCCACGAACACTCAGGCAGACGAAGGCACAAGCCCCCAAACCAGGTGTGGCAGGGGGAGGGGGGACAGAGATCTATATCCTCAAGAGAAGTTCCAGGAGAGGGGAGGACCCAAAGGCCCCACCTGACATATACAGTCATACACAAACACAGTCACACGCTCCCTCCCTCATGCTCACACATGCACATACAACCCAAGACTTACAAAAATGCACGCCGGACACCCACTCATGCTCCCCATATACACCCTATTCACTCTGGTCCCGGTACTGCTGAACATTGGGTACAACCATCACCGGTAACCAGAGTTTGACCCTTTCTGCTGGGGTGCTGATGAGCAGGCTCCCCCGCCCAACGCTGAGCACAGCAACCCACCACCCCAGACCCCAACCAGACGGCCAGATCTCCCTCCTAGCCTCCAGCCCCAGGAAGCCTAGCAACAACAGAGGTGGCTAAGACCCCTAGTCTCCCTCCGCTGCTCCAATATAGTGTTGTGTGATCATGAGGTGTATTCCATGGCTGTGGTGAGTGGGCAGTGCGGGCATCATCCAGCATATGCCAGCTGATGCCACCGCACCACCCCACTTACACCCTCAGCCATCAGTGTCTAAGTGCGGTTTAAAATTGGAAGTGGGCACCGGCACTCGGGAGGAGGCTGAAATATCCCCCTGCCAAATGCCGTTGAATGTGCTCACTCCCAAGGCCCTAAGTGTGTGTTTGTGTGGAATGTCGTCAGTGGAAGTGTATAAGGTGCAAATAAAATTGGGGGGCAGGTTTCCACAGGAATGCGGAAATGGGGTCCATACCCGCACTCCCTGACTTGCCCACCCCCCAAGGTCCTATGTGTATGTTTGTGTGATGA